AGAGACAAAAACAGACACTCCGGTATTTGAGGTAGGGATTCACCTGGGATCTTTGTTCTTTTATCTTTGGAAATGCCATGGCATTCAACATTTTAGGCATAAAGAATGACTGCTATATAAAATAAGAATTTTGACATTAAATTATTCATATTTACATTAATATGTTCAATTTTATAATGTACAGCTATACATAAAATAATGAGTGAACTTGCTTAAAGTAATAAACTTTCCTTAAAGGTAAGAATATGTTAATAAAAATTGCATATTGAGAAAACTCTATTCCTAGCATTTCATCATTTCAGATTGCCATCCCATAAACAATTCTACCAATAAAATTGAGATAATGCATATCTTTCCATTTTTATTTTTAAAAATCTGTTTGTTTAAAGTGACAGTATATTTTACAAACACTGAAGTGTTTGGTTTTTTTGTGTTTTTCTTTGCAAAAGCATTTAACCTGTATGGACGCCAGGGATTCTTCCTTTGGACAAAATGGTTCTACGATTGTGCCCATTTCTACCCATGAAACAGATAATCCAATCTCAGCACAAAATATACCAGGGGCCCTGACCCAGACACAGCCTCCTCCTGCAGAACAATTTCATCTAGTCGATGAAAATGGGCAGCCTATGCAATATGAACTTCAGTCTCTAGGGGATTCTAATGCGCAAATGGTAAGTATATTTGATAAATAACCAATTTCATGTTATTAGCAAAATATACATGAGTGCTTCAAAAAGTTTATGAAAATATAGGATTAAAGTATGATGGAATATTCCCACAAGTTTTTTGAAGCTCACCTATGTTTTTATAAATTGTTAATATTTTTTTAATATTGCTACAAAATAAATTGTAACAGTATATGTGTTAGTTGCTGTTGAGTTGCCTCTGACTCATGGCAACCCTTTGTATAGAATGATATATTGCCAACCCTGCACCATCTTCAAGATCTATGATAGTTTGAGCCCATTGCTGTGGATATATGACAATCATCTCATGAAGGATTTTGCTTGCCTTTGCTAACCTTCTACTTTTCTGAATATGTTATTTTCTAGATATTGATCTTTTCTAATTGGGTTTTGTTAAAGTAAGCAAGACAAAGTCTCGCCATTCTCATTTCTCAAACTCCAAAATCAAACTCACTGCATTGAGTCAAGTGGGTT